GAGCACGAGTCATACACCTTCTTTCGCTCCGGGAGCCACGGCTTCCCCAACTGCATCGAACTCCCAGCTTTCTCGGTATATCTGAGCCTGAGGGAGAAAGAACAGAGAGTAGAACTGCTCTTTGCCGCCCAACAATGTGGCATTCCATTACCTCAAAACTTTGTCAGCAAGATGGCTTATGCTATTCAGCTGGCCGAGGCCGAGGCGCAGAGGGGAAAGACCGAGATGAAAACGAAGATGGCTCCAACCCTTGGCGACGAAGTGGTGAGTGAAGTATTCAAAGCGGTTGGACATACTGCAGCTTCCAAGTTTGCTAAACCACCCGCACAACCTTCACAGACACCTGAAGGCACTGGTTCAGCATCATCCTCATCGGCTAGCGCACCAAAGGGCAAGGCTATGCCGAAATCCCATGAACCATCAAAGGCACCGCCTGCAAAGCCTTCATCGCCGAAAGCTGCTCCAAAACGTGCGGCAGGATGGGAGAGAACTCCAACAGCACCTCAATGGAAGAAAGTCCGCCGTGAGCAGTAAACCAATTGCTTCGATCCGTCAAAATGATCACTGGGCTACAAGATGTTTACCGTCTTTATGAACAGATGATCAGGAAAAGACCAACTGAGTGGACACTGAGCGAGGCATTAGACTAATTCGCTTAGGTTCAAGACTTTTTGATATTCCCAATCTGCACGAGATTCTGCATTGTGCACGTGAATTCGTTAGTTAGCATTGTAAATCTTTGGTAGCGAGGCGATCCATTTCTCCCGACGGGTGAGTGGCATGCTTAGCCAACGTAGAAAAGTAGATGTTAGCTAGCAATAATTCACGTTGTACAGCTTGATGAAGCGTCGATGCATCGACGGCCAAGGAGTAGGCGAACCCTGAACCATTATTCCCGACGGGTATGTGGGGAAGGGGGAGCCGAATGGCATGTTTTATGTACATAGGCGTAATTCGAGTAGCAGAAGAATCTAATTCAAAGTTCCCACTCTCGTGCCTATGGTTCGAAGATGCCATAGGCATGGGGGGTGCGAAGGGGAACGAGGTAACAGTGTAGCTGCACATGATGAACATGTGTACAGTCATGCATGGACCGCCAATGATATTGGCTCAAGTCCTGCGCGAGGAAAATAAGAACGCTGTCCGCATGCCATGCACTGAGATTGCCCGGCGCTATCAGCATTACTGGTACTACAGACAAAAGGGATACGCCGGGTAAATTTAACGTGGCTAAAAATAAAAATAAAAAAAAATCACGGACCATGTTAACATACCAAAAAAACACTGTCTCCGGTACTTCGTTAACATGAAATAAGGAGGAAAGACAAGTCTGATTTTGCTTTTGTTGTTCGCATTTTTTTTTTCAGTCGTTCCCCAGGAATCCCCAAGAACCTTAAGGTTTTGGAAGGAAATTTAAATTAACATAGCACGTTTGGAATTTTGGCCATTGAACAGTATGTATTCATGGGGAATGCAAAGAGGCAAACAGGTCGTCATTAAGGAACTATAACATATCCTACCTGCAGCACTCGTTTTTGTGCTCAAAGTTGGGCCTTGCTCATCAGGGTCCAAGTCTGGATTCAGCACCAAAAGTGCACAAATCGAGCATTTTATATAAAGAGTTTAATAAAGAAAAAATATCATGTGAAAATACTGATTTGGGATCCATGCCGCTTTGTTCTTTTGGGAAAAGAAATCTTCCTGGGAAGTATGGGGAACCTCAGAAACAAAGGTTTTACCATGGATAGCCTGATATTTTAACATGGCCCACCGGTCCATGATTTGGTGATTCATCTTTTCACCTGTTGGTCACCCACCGGTAAAAAAACAACCACCAAAGGGTCCAAGTCTGGATTCAGCACCAAAAGTGCACAAATCGAGCATTTTATATAAAGAGTTTAATAAAGAAAAAATATCATGTGAAAATACTGATTTGGGATCCATGCCGCTTTGTTCTTTTGGGAAAAGAAATCTTCCTGGGAAGTATGGGGAACCTCAGAAACAAACCAAAGGTTTTACCATGGATAGCCTGATATTTTAACATGGCCCACCGGTCCATGATTTGGTGATTCATCTTTTCACCTGTTGGTCACCCACCGGTAAAAAAACAACCACCAAAGGGTCCAAGTCTGGATTCAGCACCAAAAGTGCACAAATCGAGCATTTTATATAAAGAGTTTAATAAAGAAAAAATATCATGTGAAAATACTGATTTGGGATCCATGCCGCTTTGTTCTTTTGGGAAAAGAAATCTTCCTGGGAAGTATGGGGAACCTCAGAAACAAACCAAAGGTTTTACCATGGATAGCCTGATATTTTAACATGGCCCACCGGTCCATGATTTGGTGATTCATCCTTTCACCTGTTGGTCACCCACCGGTAAAAAAACAACCACCAAAGGGTCCAAGTCTGGATTCAGCACCAAAAGTGCACAAATCGAGCATTTTATATAAAGAGTTTAATAAAGAAAAAATATCATGTGAAAATACTGATTTGGGATCCATGCCGCTTTGTTCTTTTGGGAAAAGAAATCTTCCTGGGAAGTATGGGGAACCTCAGAAACAAACCAAAGGTTTTACCATGGATAGCCTGATATTTTAACATGGCCCACCGGTCCATGATTTGGTGATTCATCTTTTCACCTGTTGGTCACCCACCGGTAAAAAAACAACCACCAAAGGGTCCAAGTCTGGATTCAGCACCAAAAGTGCACAAATCGAGCATTTTATATAAAGAGTTTAATAAAGAAAAAATATCATGTGAAAATACTGATTTGGGATCCATGCCGCTTTGTTCTTTTGGGAAAAGAAATCTTCCTGGGAAGTATGGGGAACCTCAGAAACAAACCAAAGGTTTTACCATGGATAGCCTGATATTTTAACATGGCCCACCGGTCCATGATTTGGTGATTCATCTTTTCACCTGTTGGTCACCCACCGGTAAAAAAACAACCACCAAAGGGTCCAAGTCTGGATTCAGCACCAAAAGTGCACCACCAAGTCTGGGGTTGGGGTGGGATAGGGCATGTTAACGTTTCATGTAACTTGCATGCGTTGTGGATGCTTCGCAGCCCTGGGGTTGGGGTGGGGTGAGGCATGTTAACGTTCCATGTTAAAATTGCTCTAGTTTACACTCTTTTTGTGTTTCACTGCTCAAGTTTAACCTGGAATAGTATTACATGTTTCATGTTAAAGTCAAGGGTGTCTTCGGCTGAGTGGATCGTAGAAGATGGTAGGTCGGCCACTTGCGCAAAACCCGGAAAGGGGAGTACGGGAAGAAAAAAAGGCGCGGCACTTTAACATGGAACCTGTGGGACACACTCACTGTTTGCTTTTTTTAGGCCATGTTAATGTGAAATCAGGTTTTTTGGATTGTTCATGTTTAATTGATGTGGTCTGGAAAGGCCTGCCCAGGTGTCAGGTTAAGGTGAGTTGGATAGGATGTTGGCAGCTTTCAGCATCATCCAGTATATATGACTTCCCCAGGAGTCTTCGATGAACGGGGGCTATGTTAATATCTTGGTTTTTTGTCCTCCGGTGCTACGTTAAGTTTCACCGGCGTAATCCAGAACAAGGATCAATTTGTTCACAATATATATATATATACATACATGTACATGTACATATACGTAGACGTAGACATAAACATAGACATATATACAATATACATACATTACATTACATTGCATTACATGTACATTTACATTTCATTTACATTTACATTTCCCATTACAGTACTACAGTACAGTACATACATTACATACATACATTACGTACGTATATACGTACCTACGCACATACATAACCATAACCATAACCATACCATTCCATTCCATACAATACAAGACACCACCATACAATACCATACCATACAATACCATACCATACAATACATGCATAATCAGTCAGTATCTAGCCAGAAGAAAGTACATCACAATTCATCACAACCCCTATTAAAGACAGGGACTCTGCTGCAGGACACACAGCCTTTCTCGGGAATCGTCCGGCCTGCGTACAGCCGACGCACCCATGCGTTCTTGTACCACCCGCGATGACTGGCCACCGTCACAAGGTGGTCATGACTTGGATGATTTGGGGGGTACCCCCATGAGGAAACCTCCATATTACACCAGAAGTTGGGACAATAACTCCGATAATCCCCCATCTCTTGAGAAACATGTTTACCTTGACATGTGGTTGGTCTCTCAACGCCACACCGCCGTTGAAATCAGCTCCCAGCTTCCAGATGCCTAGAAGTACGGCACTTGCCGTGCTGTTCGGGACGCAGTTGGCTTCACCAATGGTGAATGCCATGCCGAGGGTCCAAAATCGAGGGCGCTGGGCAGGAGTTGGCCAATCGGACCCTTCCAACGTTGGGTCAGGTTGCAAGAGCATCTTCAGGCAATATGACCTTGATTATTGAACTATTGATTCCTGGAATGGTTTTCGGTTGATGTTCCCAATTTTAAGTTGGGGTTGAGGCTGCCCATTCATGGTTCAATGGCACAATCATTTTGGGACTACGGCAAGGTGGAATATAACCACTGTAGATTGCCCCTGTCCAGGGGTCTTTGGGAATCCATGGGCCCTTACGCACAATCACGTAGTAAGTTCGACAAATTCAGCGAACATTTCGAGGCTTTTGTCCAAACCCAATGCTTTCAGTGCTTCATGGCGTCAATAGTCCTGAACATATATATCATTATATATCATTATATATCACTATACATCATTATATATCACTATACATCATTATATATCACTATACATCATTATATATCATTATATATCATTATATATGATTATATATCATTATGTATCATTATATATCACTATACATCATTATATATCATTATATATCACTATACATCATTATATATCACTATACATCATTATATATCATTATACATCATTATATATCATTATATATGATTATATATATATATATCATTTATTTGTATGGTGGGAAGATTCTCTTCCAAATCTGGGGAGTTTCCTCGGCAGGAGGGAGCTTCGGCGATGGGTGTCTTGCCCACCCCATCACGAGCCTCGGCCCGCGGGCTCAGCAACGAGATGTGGGACACATGGGTCGAAGCTGAAATATCCCACAGGATCCCACAGGATCCCATAGGTTTGACACAAATCTCAGGTAATGCTAGGTAAATCTTGGGTAAACTGCGATGAATCAGGATTAGGTAAGTTCAATGATGGTGACTTGGTAAATATTGTGTAAATATTCATGTTTGCTGGTTGAATTTCCCCATTTTTTGTTGCTTAAGTCCCATTTTTTTCCTGGTTCTGTCCCTAATTTTTGTTCATTCCAGGTGGACGGTAAGAGCCCGGGCAGATGCTCAAGCCCGTGGGGGCTGCACAGATCGGGGAAGGGAGGGAGGGTACCCAGGTCTTGCCCATAGCCATGCTTTCTCCTTATATTCTTGCAAGTTATGTATATGTATCTGTATCTGTATATGAATATGTATCTGTATATGCATATGTAGATGTAGATGTAGGTGCAGACATGGGTAAAGATCATCCCATCGCCCCAAATGCTAAACACACCCTAAATGGTCTGACATATGTGGGTTCCACCCCCCTACCAAACTATTTCTGGGTTGTGTTGCACATGAACGCGGGAAGGGATTCAAAAGACTTGCAGAGAGGCAACCGGATCTGTTGCGTCCTTTCCTCTTCCTTTTTTCCTTCCTTTCAGGAAAGCCATGCAGCTGAATAGCCAAGACGATGTGTGCAAGGTGGGAAGCTGGGATGCTATTTTACCGTTTCTTTCAAGGGAAAACCCCAAAGGGAAAGGAAAGTTTGTAGCATCAAAACAGGGTGTTTTTGTTGCAACTCCCTTAAACCAATTCTAGACTCTTTCGAACGAAGATCTTCACTAGGCCACTGAAAACATGTTTTTCGTGGCCGCTGCATATTTGGCAAAGGAATGGAGGACCTTCAGCGATCGCCATGGGAATGTTTTGGGGATCTGGAACTACGGACTTGAACGCTTGAACGGGATGAGCCATGGACAGAATTCCCATAGTTCATGGGATGACTTCAAAGATCCCAATCCTGCCCAGGGATATTTTCATTGGAAGTGACCTGCTAAGCACAATGGGCATTCCACATCATACACTTGGCCTAGTTTTTTGGATTATAATCATTCTTAATCAGTAATTTTAATTATCATCAAACTTTCATTATGATTTACTGTAATGATTTTTCATGATTTGATGATGAACTATAATAAGTCCCAGCCAGAAAATTGGCCCAATCTCCAGCTTCGCAGATTTGTTGCTGCGACACCTCGCCCTGGCGATCCGTGCGCTTGGCGTGTGGCCATGGATGGTACTGTGCCCGGAAGCTCGTGGGCGGCGGGACCCTGCGGCGGCTGGATCAAAGCTGGGAGCATCATCCAGCAATGGTAACAATGATAGTAATAATAATACCATAACAATAATAATACCAATAATAACAATAAATACACAGTGATATATAATATGATATGATATATGATATAATACAATATAATATAGTATAATACAGTATAATATAATGTAACATAACACAATATAATATCATACAATATAATATGATATAATACAATACAACATAATATAATACAACATAATATAATATAACATAATATAATATAACACAACATAATATAATATAACGTAATATAATATAACATAACATGATATAATATAATATAATATAATATAATATAGTATGATATAATATAGTATGATATAATATAGTATGATATAATATAGTATGATATAATATAGTATGATATAATATAGTATGATATAATATAATATAATATAATATAATATAATATAGTATAATATAGTATAATATAGTATAATATAATATAATATAATATAATATAATATAATATATGTACATAATATTTATGTCATGAGTTTTCATGATCCGTTTGGAGATGGATTTTCCTAAACGGAATCTTTAATTACTAGAAAGTACCATTCATTCACTTGGACAGGGTGACTTGGGTTTGGGGCATGCTCCTGTTTTCCCACCGTTTGGGTGGAACCTGACCCCCCAAAGATCCAAAATACGCATGGAGCCATGCTGGAATGGCCACGGATATTGTGGGAGAGCCAAGCATTTCAGTGGTCACTGGGAGAATTCAGCTGGGGGATGGGTCCTCATTGCAGCGGTGTGGGATAAACCTCCAGCTACCAACCAACCAACCAGCTACCAACCAGCTACCAACCAGCTACCAACCAGCTACCAACCAGCTACCAACCAGCTATTTCATGTGAAAAACGCGGGGAAATTCCAGGATTTTCAGATCGCCATCTGATGATTTTCCAGCACAACTCAAGTTCCGCCCAGGCGTCCTGCATGCTGCGTCATGCAGAGGCCAGGGCTTCATGGAATGGGGCAGATAAAGACCCATCCAACAAACCTCAGTATCTGATGAACAGAGTCTACCCTCTGGTAATTTAACATAGCTATTGAAAATGGTCATTTATAGTGAGTTTTCCCATTAAAAATGGTGATTTCCAATAGTTACGTTAGTTTACCAGAGGGTAGATTAGCTGGGATAATAAAAATTCAACTTAACCATGGAATCTACATGTCCATACAACCTCTGACTGGCAGCTTCAGATATGTTTCTTTCTTCCTCCATTTGGGATGGCTGCCTGATTTTCGCGGGCCAAGTTGTGCAGGGAAACCTGAGTAAGGGAAGCGAAAAGTGAATGCTAGAAATTAGTCAGTGTTTTTCCCGTGTTGTGGCAGATTAGAATAGGTAATAGACTTATTATTGGATTTCAGCCATGGATGGTGGCAAAAGTTGACTGACTAGGCACGATTGGAGATGGGGGCTGCTTCCATTACGTGCATGGGCCCTCAGATGCTGACGGCCTCTGAAAATGCGGCGGATCTCTCCTGGATACATTGAGAGTATGTGTCAAGGCTGGAAAATAACAAAAAACTGAGGGTCAACCTGATTTCCAGATATTTACAGGAGCAGTGTGATGTTTTTGGCTTCGATTTCCTCGATCACTGGATCCAGAGCTCCATGTTGACACAATCAGGGCCATTGGTTAGTTTAGTGTTTATCAAAATCGGTGCCCTCTCAACCTTTTGGGCTTCGATCACCATGCGGTCCTATAATTGGAACTCAAGAAGCACAGTGAAATCTACTCAGACAGGGAGTCCGCTATGGCAACCGCTTACAGTAGCTGGAAAATTGATGAGCAAACATTTTGCCCAGTCGGCTTCCGAAACAACATGTGAAAGTCACAAGGCTGGTAGCAAGAGTTGATCCAGAAGTCGTAAGGGAACTTCAACAGGCAGCTACTATCTGTGATGGATCAGCCCCTGAAATGGTCTAATTTCTTCCACAGTTCACCAAAAAAAAGATATGAACAGTGCTCCAAAACCTATTGATTGATGATTATATGGGCTGATACTGATACTATTTCTGTATATACTGTATATAATGTATATATATAATATGTATATGTATATATATATATATATATATACGTGTGTGTGATGTGTGGATATATATATATATATATATACATACACATAGATATCGGGGTTTTGAACGTGGCTCACATGGCTACCCCAAAAATGCTCAGGCCCGGAATGTTCCGCCATCTTGGCTGAGCGCGACCTGAGGTAAGCGGTGCCCAAAAAGGGTATCCATGACAATCTGGAAGCCGTTATGGGGATACAACAATAACATTGGGAAGCCGGAAGATATATCTATGTGGATACAATTCTATCCCATGCATCTATGACAACTTGTTAGAGAATCACACAATGGGGATCAAATTTATAGCCAATGATCGTTGGATACTTGGATATATATAAATATATAAATTGGATAAATACATATATATATAATGGATATATATATATATATACATATATACCTGAGTATGTATATATATATATATCTCAATGAGACAGATTGTAGGTCTCAGATATGGCTATGGCTAGGCTCAGGGTCTTCAATCAAATCGACCATTAGGCAATGAAACGTGGCTGAGAAATCCCGGAACTGGAGCTTTCGAACGCTAAGATCAGCGATGGGAAAATTTCCCAGCCACGTTTGATGACACCGGTACCCTCTGGTAAACAAACATTTTGCTTTTGAATATGGCCCATTTATAGATGGTTTACCTATTGATGGTGATTTTCTATAGCTATGTCAGCCATTACCAGGTTGGGTAAGTGAATCCATTAGCCACCATTAATCACCATTAACCATCATTAATCACCAGGAATCACCAGAGGGTACCCATTTTTTTTCCAGGTCCAAGGAACCCGAAGCATCCAACGGTGACCTCCAGGAAATTGCTGCCGACGGAAACCATCGACCGGCTTCTGGTTGGGGACGCAAAGTGTCGAGCCATGGGTCTGAAATCGATCGTGAAACTCAAATGGTCACATAGACTCTGGTGGAATAAGAAACATACCCTCTGGTAAACGTTTACATAACTATGGAAAATCACCATTTTTAATGGGAAAATCCACTATTTCTATGGCCATTTTCAATAGCTAGGTTAAATTACCAGAGGGTAAATGATTGCGTGAATGAACTTTGCTGGATGGATCTGAAAAATCTGGACCCATACTCAAGGCATGTGTAAAGGTGGCTACTTGTGTCTAGATGCATCTTTCAGATGCGTCGACCCCAGCAAGACTTCTTAAATCACATGATTTTCCTTGAGTGTCAATGTAGTCAAACATGGACACTGAATTCTGAATGACAATGATCATCATCGCAATTCCAACACTAATAACAATACTGTTAGTAAACTCCTCAACTCATGGATCATGGATCATGGATCATGGATCATGGATCATCGATCATCATCATCATCATCACCACCACCACCATCATCATCATCATCATCATTGCAGCCCTCATAAGAATACAACACATAAATTTCACTAATGCTGGTAAAACAAATAAACTATCCCCAAGTCATCACCATTTTTATGCGTGCCATCAACCATCCATTTTTATGGGTGGTTTATGACATTGCTCTACCAACATCAACTGGTTTGTAACTGGGATATCACTGACATTTAAGTTACTGAAATCACCCTATTTAATTGGTAGATAACCCTAGTAATCATCATCTTCACTAGAAAAATCATCAGCATCATTGTCGAAGCCACAATCGCCATCCAGGCACGCAGCCTGGAACAAGCTGTAAACTGCGCAGCCGACATCCGCGCCTGCCCCACCCCGTGCCTTGTTTGGACGCAATGGGCCAGGATTTTGCGAAGGTATTTTACTAGGCACTATGACAATGACTGGTTGGTGGTTTGGAACATTTTTTATTTTCAACAATATATGGGACAATCCATTGACTAATATTTTTCAAGATGGTTAAAACCACCAACCAGATAAATATGATCATTCCAACAGATGATCATCCCACTAAGATTCGAGAATCCATCATGACAATAGGGGATATCCACCCAGAAATTTTTGGCCATTCAATTAGGGAAAAGTCTGATAAACCATGATAAACCGATGGATCTCATGGGCTACCCTATGTTGATGTCTTCACACGCTCCGGGTTCGTATGGCATGTAGCACTCATTCCATCCGCGTGAATCCGAAACGTTCAGAAAAATAAGAACTGCTGCCAGGGGATCGGTGCACAATTTTTGGATTTTTGGGAGTGATATCCTCATGTTCCGCGACAGGAGTCCTCTTTCTTGGCTAAAACATTCTACAGTAATTATGGATGTATATATATATAGGCTTACAATTAAATTGCAATTGGCTTCCGGGGAACCCCCAGCTTCCGCCCTATATATATATATTTATTGGTTATCTATCCTATCCTATCCTATCCGGCGAATCCCAAGGAACTGTCCCATGAGGGTGGCTCTTGAGGAAGGCGACGTGGCGAGGCGACAGGAATCCGGGACACATGGGCTTTATCCTATCAAACAGATATAGGAATCTATTGATTATATATATATATATCATTCATGGAATATATGAACTATCAATTCCAAAAAAGTACATCATCTATCAAAGATATGGGAGTAGAATCCATGAATGATGGTTGATTGATGATTATAGTAGGGATTATGATGATGTGAATGTGATAAACTCAAAAATAAACATTCGAAAATTGGGGATGGTTCAAAAAGCACCTAAAAAACATGATGATACCGGGGATGGTTTATGATTAGGTTGACCACATTAGTAAACCTTGATTGGGTAGTTGGACCACGGCTTATAGACGGCCGTGGGGTTTTGGGGGGTTTTGGGTTTTTTTGGGGGGTTTTGGGGGGGGGGCTGATAACGTTCTTGGCTGCCCGCCTTACAAGATATTCTCTTGGACTTGCTGCTACGCTATCCACTCTTCTCTTGCACCGTACCCTGGCACACGCTATCAACTTCTTCTTGTAACTTGCAAGACACTCTTGATTTTTGAATTGTTGTTTCTTGGGGGGGTTTTGGGGTGGTTTTGGGGGGGCTGATAACGTTCTTGGCTGCCCGCCTTACAAGATATTCTCTTGGACTTGCTGCTACGCTATCCACTCTTCTCTTGCACCGTACCCTGGCACACGCTATCAACTTCTTCTTGTAACTTGCAAGACGCTCTTGATTTTTGCATTGTTGTTTCTTGGGGGGGTTTTGGGGGGGGCTGATAACGTTCTTGGCTGCCCGCCTTTCAAGATCTTCTCTTGGACTTGCTGCTACGCTATGCACACTTCTCTTGCACCGTACCCTGCCACACGCTATCAACTTCTTCTTGTAACTTGCAAGACACTCTTGATTTTGCATTCTTGTTTCTTGGGAGGGGTTTTGGGGGGTTTTGGGGGGGGCTGATAACGTTCTTGGCTGCCCGCCTTTCAAGATCTTCTCTTGGACTTGCTGCTACGCTATGCACTCTTCTCTTGCACCGTACCCTGCACACGCTATCAACTTCTTCTTGTAACTTGCAAGACACTCTTGATGAGAAAACCGTCATCTGTACTCAGTTCGGTAGCCGGTACTCAGAGTATTGACAGGGCATGGCTTGCACTCAAAGCTTGGCTACCCCAAAAATTGAAGACATACGAAAAGAGAAATGGCCATCACAAAATGAGTCAAGGTGTGCATTCAATGATCCAGCAATGGATGTGGCGTCAAACAATTTTGCCGTGTTCTTCCAAAGAATTGATGTCATGCCTTGTCGATCTGCTGAAGAAATATCATGACTTTCAATGACGGCTTCATCCACTGAAACAAATAGTTTGACTGCATTGCAAAATGACTAAAAAACATATTTTTCCCAATCTAATTACGAGATGAAGCCGCTTTAACCAATGGCACGGCTGCGTGAAAGATCCAAAATGGACTGGAATGCTCTGACCACTGTAAATCAGCAGAAAAACAAATGCTCCGCATTGCTGGTGTGCTGAATTCCTCACGGCCGCCTGTGAGCCGTGGACCTAGTTAAGTACTTTACGCTGTGCGCCATCAATGCGGGAATATACTAGTCAACTAAAATGGAGCTGCTTGCAAGGTATCTAAGATTCAAGGAGCCAAATCCAACTCTCGAAATGTTGTTGGGTTTCTTACTTCAAATATTAGTTGAATGCGATTATTCCAAACTGGGAGAGATTTTTTGCTGACAGATCCAGACGTGATTCAGTGATCCTTGGCATCCCAGCTCCCATGGCCACCAGGTTTAAGTGCACCATGTGCAAGAAGGAGTCCTGTGGCTTGTCTCACCATGCCCGATGATTAGCAGCCTCGCCTGCTTGTATATTTTTATGTATCTGTGTACATATGTATAGACACATATGGTCACATATGTATATACACATATGTAGATATACACACATGTAGATATACACGCATGATTATCCATCTATGTGTACATTCATTTCATCACATATATATATATATTATACACACACTATATATATATATATATTATACACACTTATTTGTGCGCACACATACGCGTACTGTAATAGTCAGTATATACTTGAAGCATGCTATTCTTCGAGGTCCATGTTACCCCAGGTTCGCGAGTTTGGAGATGCTGTGGAAACTTCATATTTCCAAAATGATGGACGTGTGTTGTTTTTGGCTCGAATGAAAAAAACAACTAACCTAACTAACCCTTACACCATCCGATTCCACACAGTACTTTGATACTTGGCATTCAACTCGCCCAAAAGTGACCACCTCATAATAGATGGCTAATAAACAACTCTGAGAATTTGTGGGGCCACTTTTTGGGCGGCTTGATTAAATCCACATGATTGGCATTTGCTGCAAGTTGGTGCAAAAGGGCAAGGCTTTGGCGGTTCACGCCGCAAGATGTAGCCCAATACTTGGGATAAACAATGTGCAAAAAAGTGAACAGTGAATCGTTGGCTTTGGGGCTTCTGGGGTCGAATCAACTTCAATAATTTAGATTTATATAGATTACATATACGTATCTGCATGCACATATGGATAAAATGGACACATATCCAAACATCAATTTCAAAACCAACATATTATAGGTCGTTTTTGCATTTATTTTTCAAATGTTTGATGATACCTCATTGGTTGACCCACCCTTCTTGGATCTCCCGCAGAGGTCTGAGATGCGGTCGACAGCCTTTCCACCGTGGACTGACCTGTGAGGACTAAGACTTGGATGATGCGGATTTGAGGCTTTTCGGATCGCTTTTCGTAGATTTTCCTAAGATATTCTCAGACCAACCTAATCGAAGATCCAAGCCGGTGACTCTGAGTGACTAAGGGTAAGTGCTTGCCCTGCATGGATCCATCATAAAGCATGCTGTAGCAGCACATGGGTGTGTCTTCGTTATTGGGGTATAGGGTATAGCCCAGTTATGGCCATTTGAATAGGGAATCCATGAGGTTTTAGTCCATTGGAATTGGGGATGGCCGGCACAAGCCAATTTCCAAATCATTGGATGTGTAAAGGTGGCAGCACTGGTCTTGGCCCAGCTAAGGATGAGGTTTGGGCCACCTGCCTGGTCATGTGACTCATGATCTTTGCAGGGACATGAGCTCGTATGATGGTTGGAGTCGGCTGGAGAGTTTTTTTTTCTATGACTACTAGTAAAATAGAGCGCATTGAAGACGCAGGCGGTTTAGAAGTGCGATTGGGCACAGATCCCAGGTTTTTTCTGCATTGTGCACCAGTTGAGCTTTCCAACTGGTGGTTCTCATGTGGAAAGCAGCCGTCGGCTCTCTGCTTTGGAGACCAACAGTTGATCACCGAAGACTGAATAGAAATGAGATAATCAATGAAGTCGATTCCTGCACCTGTGAGATTTTGTAATCTGTACCTGAATTTGGAACGAACAACTTTCTAGGGCTTCATGACACTGATCCTCCAACTAGCTGGAAACTGGAGCAAAAGACCATGGTTTTCCAGCACCAAGATCGAAATTTTCTTTTGAGTTTGTCAACTTTGGGAGAATTCCGAAACAACCTGACCTTGACTCACAAATCTTGGATGCACGTGGCAATGGTGTGACTGGCACATAGAGCGCTTTCCGATGTCCAGTTTGGAACATGCGAGGTCAATGCACCTGTGCCTTCGCTGCAGTTCCCATCACAATGGTGTGACATGGTATACCTTGAAAATTGGGGGCAAACCTCTTGACATCTCTTGACCATTTATTTATTATTTTAAGATGGCCATCTTAGATGGATTGCCACAAGCTGCAGGTCAATTCCAGCTGCCAGATGGTGTGTGACGCATCGAGACTTGAAGTTTTTGAAATACGAAGTGTGGCGCGCTATCCAAGACGGCATGATTCAGTCGCAGGATGGAATGAATGCATTTGATCCTTCAGACCAAGTGCGTTTGGGTTGTGAGTTGTGCTGCTTTTTGAGTACACCATGCCTTTTTCATCCTTTTTCTTTGAGGATCGGGATTCCACAAGGGGCCACAAAAAGGGAAGGGACAGCTCTCAGGTATGGACCAAGCATCTACTCTGTGAATGAGCAATACATCAAGCCTGTGACAAGAGATGCTGGACTGATGAGCTGGGCTCTGATGCGAAATCCAGAGGGCCTGGATTGCGATTTGTTCATAAGTCATGCCTGGCAAGAGGGCATTTTTGAGTTTTTGACGAAAGTGAAGCATTCATGGCCACGAGGGGCGCGAAATGCTTGGTGCTGCATGTTGGCCAACCCTCAAAATTTGGATATTGGAGCGTTGCTGCAAACTCCAAGCGATTCTCCGTTCGCTCTTGCTCTGCGAGCCTCCAAGATAGTTTTGGTTGTGCCAAACCGTCATCAGAGTGTCTACACGAGGCTTTGGTGTGGCTATGAAGCCTATTTGGCAGAGAAAGAAGGCAAGACCATTGTGATTGCGAAGGATTCCAGACTTCACGACGTCCGGCATCTGGGTTGTGCTTTTAACACATGCTTTCTTTTCTGCTCTTTTTATGTAGGTGGGTAGGTGGTTTTGCTTCCTCAACATCACCATCACCTGCAGGAGATGTTCTGAAATGGTGCATGGCTAAGAGGTTTTATTGTGGTCAACATCCTGTAACCGTAACCCACTTTGAACTGGTCAGATATACGAAATCGAGGGTACCCTGGGTTTGACAATTTGACCCATACCCGCGTGTCTTACACACGTCTTTGGAAGCTGCCAAGGGCATTCTGTGTGGCAGGGTTTGTACTTCAACAGATGCAGCTGGTGCCTGTTGTGGCAGGTGCCGTATCATACATAGTGTCTTAGTATCTGTTTTTTTTCATGTTTTTTTCTGTGTTGGCTGACGAAACGCCAGGTTGGCTTTGCAGCGCATTGCAATTGCTGCAGTCTCTGGATTGATGATGGGTTTTGTGGCGAATTTTCTTGACCTTCGATCGCCAGTTGAACTCACCTGGTTCGGAGCCGCAGCGGCCGTGTTGGGCCTTTGTGTTGAGAATAGTTGCGTGCGGACCTTCTTGAACATCATTGGGGAGGTGGTATGCTGCATTGAACTCACAAAAGGTAAGAAGATCCTATGGTATCACTTGTGGTACATTCCAACGGATTTGCTGAAGGAAGCAGTATATCCTTTTTTCTGGTTCATGGCAGCAAGTTTCTTTTTCTTGTTGGAGATTGATCGCGTGAGTGGAGAAATGACAGCCGTTGAAGCACGAAGGCTTCGAAAGGGCTATGGTGGATCCATCAAATATGCTGAATGTGCCCGACAGTCTGATGCAGTAAAGATCCTTCAGGAAATTGATGACCAACAAGATGCAGTTGACTTTGCCATCCATGTACTTTTGACAGCTGGAATGTCCACACCGGCCCTGCGCCACATTGCTGAAGCAGGAGTTGATATCGAGTTTGCGGCTTATTCCGAAATCACTGCCGCTGCCATTCTGTTGGTCCCCTTTTCGCTTCTGACCATAGTGAATTTTGTATTTCACATCAAGTATTTTCAGGGAGATTGGGCCATTTTGATTCTCCAGGGCACCTCCATTCTCGGACGCTTGATTCTTGTGTCTATCATTTACAGAAGCCCCACTGATGAGCAATGCTTTCTGCTGAAGCTTCTGACAAAGTTTGCAGCAATGCTTGTTTTTGCCCTCGCACTCTTTATCCCTGCGATATGGTTGCCAGACATCTACCCCCTGTTGGTTTGGCTGTTCACATTCGACATTGGTTTACTCTGCATGATCCCCGTTGCCGTGCTGGGGATACAAGGAACTGCTGAGCGGCTGCCTTTGGGCCTGTGTTTATTGCAGCTGGTTTTTGCCAGAGGCTGCAAAGCATTTCTGTCCTGCTATTCCAAGGTCCAACGCTGTTGCTTCAGTCAGAAGCAATTGACCACACAATCCTCGTCGGAGTCCGATTCCTCTGCTGAGTGATTCTATGAACACTTTTTGGTCGGAGCTGAATCCTACCACTGAGTTATAAGTTGTATGTAAACAGGGTATTACACCACTGTGTTGTTTCTGGATGCCATGGCTTTTGTGCGAAAACATCGCTCCTTGCCAAGCGCCGAAGTTTGATCAGAAACCAGATGGAGGTTTCCTAAAATGAGGGTACCTCTAAATCATCCACTTTCATAGGATTTTCAATTATAAACCATCCTTTTTTGGGATCTTCCATTTATGGAACCCCCCCAGATGCTGTTGTCACTTTGGGAGATTGGCATGGACTGGTGATACATCCCCATTCTTGTTGGGCCCAGGCCTAGTTGGCTCCGAAGTGCTTGGGGATGGGGATCGAGGTTTTCCTGATGCCCAGGATCCCTATCATGGCAGGGATGAAAAATGATGTTGTAATTGTAGCCTGTTTGGAAGCCCAGTTTTGAGGCATCTCCATTTTTGCCATCTCATGTCTTGTCTCAGCATAAGAAACAAAGATGGACGCAAAGGATGCTTGAAGTATGCAGGGATTGTATAAGACTTGTAGCCCCACCTGATTAATCCAATCGCTGATGCAAAATTGCACAGACGTTTCAATACTTTTCAATCATCATTTTTCATGTGCTGCCTGGAAACATCCGATTTCCAATCTCGCTTTTGCTAAGTGTCGCGCCATGAAAGAGCCATACATGGCCGTGACAAGTGCTGATTCAGCACCCAGCGTTCAAGCAGCAACTTCAATTCACATGTGCCTTTGCAGCAAGAACAGCGATAAAGCATTGTGATTACCAGGGAGTTTCTGTGGGTTTGTCCGAGAACGAGGTACTCTAAAATCCAATTGATTTTAATCCTGTTCCCCACTAGAGTGACGATCTTGGGGTATACGGTATGCCCCATTTCCAGACAAACCCATATTTTGGCAAACAACATCAACCAACTACGATCTTCCACGCTTTACGCCAGACTTTGTCGATGTACTCCAAAGTCGTTGAAGCTTGGGTGTCTGCAAATCCCCTATCATGTGGTAAACCCAACAGCCATCTTGCCAGAAAATGGATGGTATAAAACGATCCGCAATGGACAGTTTATTGTTCCAATCTCCAGATCGCGGCGGCAGTGTTCTTGAACGGGAGTCAGTCTTGGACATATTCTGACATGCATTGAAGCGGATTTGCTTTGGAGAGATGACAATTCCAACTTTTAAATTCTTCTCAATAAAATTAGCATCTTTACCGGGGTGGAAATAGAAGGGTGGAATAGTGGCTTGTGATTTGTCAATGAATCTGAAGCTTTCCGGGGACAGACCCTAGGCCCTAGGCCCTTAACTAGGAAAGCCTGAGTGATCAGCCTAGATTATCAACATTAAAGGACTAAGCTTGAATGATACCAGAGATTCACCCCTTTCCAGCGAACCATTGTTGATGCACCTTCAATAGAAAACAGTTTGGATGTTCGCGGAGCGACGGTTTCGTAAGGAGTTGTGCAACGAAAAGAGGGATCCAACCAAATTGGTGACAACTCTAAAATCAGGGCACGCAAAATTATCCAAATTGGGGATCTTTCAAATGCATTATATAAAATCCACCAAATGGTCTACTACTGTGACTGGGGAAGCCAATGGTTGAACACCCAGTTCTCACACCTATGAAGACCCAGGTATTGGGTATCGCGATGTACCTTAGAACTAGCACATATTAATGAATATTACATAGGACATATAGGAGTATATATAAATGTCTTGACCATTTTTTTTCTGCATTGTGCACCAGTTGAGCTTTCCAACTGGTGGTTCTCATGTGGAAAGCAGCCGTCGGCTCTCTGCTTTGGAGACCAACAGTTGATCACCGAAGACTGAATAGAAATGAGATAATCAATGAAGTCGATTCCTGCACCTGTGAGATTTTGTAATCTGTACCTGAATTTGGAACGAACAACTTTCTAGGGCTTCATGACACTGATCCTCCAACTAGCTGGAAACTGGAGCAAAAGACCATGGTTTTCCAGCACCAAGATCGAAATTTTCTTTTGAGTTTGTCAACTTTGGGAGAATTCCGAAACAACCTGACCTTGACTCACAAATCTTGGATGCACGTGGCAATGGTGTGACTGGCACATAGAGCGCTTTCCGATGTCCAGTTTGGAACATGCGAGGTCAATGCACCTGTGCCTTCGCTGCAGTTCCCATCACAATGGTGTGACATGGTATACCTTGAAAATTGGGGGCAAACCTCTTGACATCTCTTGACAATTTTATTCTTTTTTTGGTAATCTTAGATGGACTGCCACAAGCTGCAGGTCAATTCCAGCTGCCAGATGGTGCGTGACACGTCGAGACTTGAAGTTTTTGAAACACGAAGTGTGGCGTGCTATCCAAGACGGCATGATTCAGTCGCAGGATGGAATGAATGCATTCGATCCTTCAGACCAAGTGCGTTTGGGTTGTGAGTTATGCTGCTTTTTGAGTACACCATGCCTTTTTCATCCTTTTTCTTTGAGGATCGGGATTCCACAAGGGGCCACAAAAAGGGAAGGGAAAGCTCTTAGGTATGGACCAAGCATCTACTCTGTGAATGAGCAATACATCAAGCCTCTGACAAGAGAGGCTGGACTGATGAGCTGGGCTCTGATGCGAAATCCAGAGGGCCTGGATTGCGATTTGTTCATAAGTCATGCCTGGCAAGAGGGCATTTTCGAGTTTTTGACGAAAGTCAAGCATTCATGGCCACGACGGGTGCGAAATGCTTGGTGCTGCATGTTGGCCAACCCTCAAAATTTGGATATTGGAGCGTTGCTGCAAACTCCAAGCGATTCTCCGTTCGCTCTTGCTCTGCGAGCCTCCAAGATAGTTTTGGCTGTGCCAAACCGTCATGAGAGTGTCTACACGAGGCTTTGGTGTGGCTATGAAGCCTATTTGGCAGAAGAAGAGGGCAAGACCATTGTGATTGCAAAGGATTCCAAACTTCACGACATCCGGCATCTGGGTTGTGCTTTTTCTGCTGCGTATTTTTTGAAGTTGAAGGATCAACCATGACAATCTAGCTGTTTTTTTCCTGTTTTCGTAGCACCATCGCCAGGTTAGCGTTGCAACACATGGCCATGGCCGCAGTCTTGGGAGTTGTGCTGGGTTTTCTGGCAAATCTGCTGGGATTTGAATGGCCCAAAGAATTGCAATACCTTGCAATGTTCGCTGCGGTGGTAGATCTTTGCATTCAGAACAGCAAGCTGCGGATTTTCTTGAACCTCTTTTGTGAGGTGGTTTGCTGCATTGAACTCACTAGAACTGAGGGAGAGTTTCCTTGGTTTGGTTTGTGGCATTATCCAATGTCCGTCCGCAAGGTCGTGTACCCACTTACCTGGCTTTGCGCTGCAATCTTCTTTTTCTTGCTGGAAATAGATCGTGTCAGTGGGGAATCGACGGTTGTTGAAGCACGACAACTCCGAAAAGGCTACGCAGGATCCATCCAGTATGCGCAGTGTGCTCGACAGTCTGATGCCGCAAAAATACATCGGGAAATTGAAGACCAGCAAGATGCAGTTGACTTTGCCATCCATGTACTTTTGACAGCCGGAATGTCCACACCGGCCCTGCGCCACATTGCTGAAGCAGGAGTTGATATCGAGTTTGCGGCTTATTCCGAAATCACTGCCGCTGCCATTCTGTTGGTTCCATATCAGCTTTTATCGGCAATGCATTTTGCATTTCATATTATTAGCTTTCAAGGAGATTGGCCCACTCTGATTCTTCAAGGGATTTCGATTCTTGGGCGCTTTATTCTCTTGGTGATGCTGTTCCGAAACCAAGAAGATGAGCAATGCTTTTTGCTGAAACTTCTCACCAAGTTTACAGCACTGCTTGCCATTCTCCTGGTACTTTGTTTGATTTTGGTGTGGCTTCCCGACACCAAACCTGTCTTTGTGTGGCTGGTGATGACTGATCTCGGCTTACTTTGCTTGATCCCCATGGCAATTCTGGGAATACAAGGAACTGCTGAGCGGCTGCCTTTGGGGCGGCGTTTCGTGCAGCTGATTTTTGCCAGGGGCACCAAGGCTTTCGCTGCCTGCCGCTCAAGCTTTCGTCCAAAGTCTACAGAGTCCTCCTCCGAGTCGACCGGTGAAGACCGGGGAGATGGGTGAAATCTATGGCCGCGAAGTGATGTGAGAAAGGCTCCCAAGATCTCCCAAGATCTCCCAACAGGAAGTTCTATGTTCCAATTTACAAGTCTTTGACATGCTAATATTAGCTCGTCTTGTGGATATCCTAGGTTCTTGTATGTTCTTCTGATATCCTGGTTCAAAAGACAACAGTAACAGTACTTACATACCTTTCAATTCCACGAAGCTATGGACGTCGCATCCAACTGGAATCAGAGAAGGGCTGGATAGGATGACCTCCATGGTTGGTCGGAGGAGTACTCAGAGAAGATGAAGAACAACACCAAGGCGGCCAAAAAGGAACGACAGGCCCCCGGATCTGCGCGACCCCCTGCCCTACCTTGACTCAGAGAGGTGTCTTGAGAACTCGGGGGTGTTCGCATGCTTTTTTGCTGTCCGTTCATCTTGGTGTTCTATCTCCTTGTTTCCATCGTCATTTCCATCGTCATTTCCAAAAAAAGATCCTGTTCTCAACCCAGGACACCCCTTGAGATGGGGATGGATCCCAATCGATCCAGAACAATACATCCGCTGGGTGTGATAGCAGGGTACTGATGTGGCAACTGATTGATGTCGGTATTTGGAGATTAAATCCTATGCTTTGTTGATTGTATATCTGGTATTACAAATCATTGGCTGATAGATAAATCCAGAGCCCCGAAAAGATGGCTATGCGTTTGTTTTCACCACTCAAATCGGGTACAAATTGCAATCTCATAAAATACACGGCATTCATGTTCAACATGTTCAGCTAAAGGGAAGGAACTCAGGTTTTTAGGATCTACAATCTCACCCAGTTGACAAATAAACACCACTGCACCACAATTTTCGAGACCCAGGGGACCACAGAATTGGGTCATTTTTGTCCCTACCGGATTGTTTGAAAAAAGGTGCCCCAAAACATCCAAACAATTCGTCATCATTTTCTCCATCTTTGAATTGGCCAAAGGTTAAGAGCAAACTTCCAATTTTCAGACGCATCAAACATGCTACCCCCCCTGTAATCAAACATGGCTTGCTGGAAGATTCCCCATTTAGTTCGATGAATTTCTCAGCTAGAAACCTCCATATCCGAGGGATTTCCCAGCGGCCGGCCATGTTTGATAGTATATTTCCTATGATTGTTGGTTATAAAGTCATAAGTATATAATAGTATAGTTCTAAGTCATATTTATCCCAATATCTCTCCAATGATATCCCCATTATCTCTCCATTAACGGTGGGGATTTTCCACCGCTCAGATGGAGCCAGGCAGATCGACTCTTTGAACAGTGGATGCAGGAGACGGGCACCAAGCAGTGCCCATGCTGCCGCATGGCGGCTTCCCGGCGGCAGCACTTATTTTTTTTTGGGGGGGAGTGGAACATTTCGACCTGCAAATGCTACTTTGGTGAGATTTGAATTGCATTTTACTTGTCAGAAAGGATGGGGAACTTACTGTAATTGAGACAGTATGAAGAACCAAGCAGGATATGTCCAGAGCGGATGAGTGTATCCTAGATTCGAGAGCCGGACATCTTTTCCTCGGGGAACGCAGTGGGCTGCCCACCAATCTTCAAAGTCAATCATGTCGCTGAACCGCCAGCGATCCCATCGAGGGGTGACCTCGACTGCTTCAGAGCTGAGGTGACCAAACAAAATTTGGATCGACAGCAAACGCAGTACTCCGAGTGCCACAAGATGAGCTGGAACGCCCAGCGAGCGCAAAGGGGGGGTTTTACAGCACACCTAAAGGATGGAGGGACAACATGTTTTTTTGGCCTATTTGAAACAGGGGTTTCTCTGGTTTGGGGGGAGAGTCTGATAAAGCGGTCTACTTCATGAAGTTTACTGTATTCTGGAGTTTTCACAGGTCAAGCTTCGATTTTTTTCCCTCAGCCACGTACTCAAAGATGAAGGGAGCACAGCAAGGTTGACTGTGAAATGCTTTGGGAGCCATATCAGTTGGATATCAGTTGGGATAGCTCACCAATGGCGGATTCGTTGGGTCCCCGTTGGGTCCCCGTTGGGTCCCCGTTGGGTCCCTGTTGGGTCCCCGTTGGGTCCCTGTTGGGTCCCCGTTGGGTCCCCGTTGGGTTTGGCCCGTCGGCATTCTAAGGCTGTCGGAACTGTGGAACGAAATTCTGCTTCAAGCCGCCTGGCATCGGTCTGCTGGGGATGGTGCTGGCGCAAAGGGACGGTTAAAAAACCAGTTGCGACTGCCACAGAATTGCTGCACTAGTTTCAAGGGTCAGGACAGGTACCAACAAAATCCAACACACACATATATATATATTTATAGTCATCCTGAAATAGATAGAATATCACCCGTTTTTCCGAGGATTTTTTGAAATTTCCATATTCTATCTACTCCAGGATGACAAGAATCATCATGCTTGGATGATCCAACCATTTTGGTTCGGATAGCAACTGGGTGAAAGAAAGCTGGATACTGTATCTCCCAGTGCTAAGTAGGCTTTCTTTCTAATGTTTCTATTCTATAGATATTCCACTGATATACCACATCTTTGTCAGATCTATGGCTATAGCACATATTTCTGATATACCACTGATATACCCATAGATTCATAGATAATCCCCATGGTTTTACCAGAGATTTCTGGAGATTTCAGCGAGGTGCCTGGCCATCCTCAGCGAGAGCTTTACGTGCGGAGACCTGGGACTTGTCCGACTGTCAAGAGTCGTTGGATTTATATACTGTATATAACTATACATATATAAATAACTATTCATATATATATAAATATATATATATAATATAATATACATATATATATAATATATATATATACATATATATATATATGTATACAGATCTAATATTGGAATCTAATTAATAGTATTTTTTTACAGTGGGTAGTATGGTGAAAACGGAAAGTCATGTTAGTAGAATATCCAAGGTATCAAAGACAGGAGTTCACCGTTACTACTGACATTGTCCCGAGTGTTTTTTAGCATCAAAGCTTTCGGACCCTCGTCTCAGGCCCTTTCCAAACTCGGACCTAGCTGGATGATTTGAATTCCTACTTGGGAGTGCAGTTGAGGTGGTGCAACCATGGTATTATAAACCCCCAGAAGTTGGGATATAACCCCTATAACAATGACAACTATGGTTATCTACATATATATGCATATATATATATGTATATGTACATATACATATATATATATATGTACATATACATATATATAAACACACTTATGTATATGTATATATATATGTACATATATATATATGCATATACACATATATATATATACATACATAAGTGTGTATATATATATATTATCCACTGATAACTGGAGCTGCACTTCCAAGTAGCGACATTTTAGATTCCACCGCCAAGGTAAAGCTTTGCCAAGTATGGATCATCAACGTTCCCAGGTGTGGTTGCACCATCGACGCTCACGGCTTCATCAACCCAGTGACTGGGAGGATCGTGAAGCACTTGAAGAAGAGGCAGACCGGTGGAGTGAGGGAAGGACACCCTTAGGATGTAGGTGGATCTATGGTTGAGTTTTTTTTTGTCCCATATCATATCTGAAGAAACTATCCCCAATCCACCACAATTAGAATCATATGGGTTGTTATACTCGGTAATTGGCAACTGACGGTCGAAGGGTGAGACTCCAGGAATCCACAATGGGAATCCATTGGGCGATTGCTGTAAGATATAATTCGTTGATATGGGGGTTTCTTAAAATGGGAGAATGCCAAAACCCATGAGTTGTATATATATATATATATGTACGTAAATAGATACATCCTCTCCTCCATCCTAATGGGAATCCCTGTGCTTGCACTTCAGACCTGCCAGGGCCAAGAAATGAAAGGCCTTTAGGCCGAAGAGGGAAGTTCTTGCATGGTGACTTTCGTTAAACGAGTATGATGATGATGATGATGATGATGATTTTTTTTTCACTGTGATTAAATGGGATTTTCAGATCACACGACATGGAACTGTGCCCTCGTTTGCTGCATGGAATTTGCAGTGCTCGTGTGTGGGGGGTATGTTTCGTAGAAGATGGGACCCTTTGTAAGCACCTTGTCATGTGGCCGTGGGTCAAAAATCCTCCTACCCTTCTGTTTAACTCCCCATCCATTCATATTGGACAATTATCATAGCTGGTATGACTGTACGATCCATTCCGCATGTATCTGTTCAAATTACAGAGACCTCACAGACCACCCAAAATCACGGTATTTCAGGTTCTGAAATCAATATCATGGGAAAATCACATATATATATATCAGTATAATTGATTCTATATGATTCTTTATATATAATAATATATAATTATATATAATATATGTTTACACATAATTGTATATAATTATATACAATTACATACATGCAGAATGCATGCATACATGCGTGCATACCTACATACGTACATACATACATAATATAGTATATATATATATCAGTATGTATGTAATGTATGTATGTATGTATGTATGTTATGTTATGTTATGTTATGTAATGTAATGTAATGTAATGTAATGTATGTATGTATGTATATATATATACATGTATGTATATGCGTACGTACGCATGTATGTACGTACATTACATACATTATATTATGTCACGTTACGTTACGTTAAGCCACATTACGTATACTATTACGAACTACAATCACTACAATATTATATGTACGCATATATAAATACATACAGATTATTTGCAGAATGCATCCATCCTCTCCTGACAATGGCCAGGTCTGTGCAGTTATTTACTCCAGCGGCACTTCTGAAAAGTGTGGATGGCGCCTAGATTCAGCGGCTTGCCCTTCCGATTTGTGGCGGGGCCAATGATGTCTACTCAAATAAGAAAGAGTGGGTGGCAAAGAAACTGGTGAATGGTGAATCTAAGCTTTGACCATTGGATTTCTCTGCTTCTTTTAACCAGAAACCATTCTTGTTGTTGGCCGGAGAAAGGCTCTGGAAAGCTCGCCCTGGGCATTGCTGAATTCTGTGCGGTGGTTTTTTAGTCCGTTGCACGCTGCGGCCACTGATGTCTGAACCGCTTGCTGCCCAATGATGTGATAACTTGTGGATTTGCCTGAAAATAGGAAGCTTCATTCCATCCAAGCTTGCCATCAGTTTTCCCATTAAAATGGGCATACAATGATATAAACTGATGTAAAATTGGATATCAAACCCACATTTTCTTTTCGTTTTTTTGGAGGGTGATCATCGAAATATCAAGGTTTCATTTGTGCGTAGGACTACAACTATATGATGCAGATGTCACGTGGTTCGCGGCTGCGCAAGCCCAGCTTGCTTGTAAACAATTCGGTTCACGTTTCATCTGCACGTATCGAACACCATGTTCCGAGCTAATTCGCTGCAAGCACAGGCACCAAGAAGATTGCATTGGAACACTTCCACATTGAGACTTGTTCTTGATCACGATGTATCAGGCAGTGAGAAAGAATCAAATCATATCCAATCTTCACCCTTTTGAGCCTTTTGAGTGATGCCTGAAGATGATTGTAGCCACTGTGGGTGGTGGTTCAAAGACATCGCGGCATGGTGGATTTCCAGGCGCCCAAATTTTTCCACGTGCAAGTTGTAGGTCTACAGAAACTGGACCTCTCAAGCCCGTCTCTTTGCTGCTATCGCAGTTTCAACCTGTTTGGGTGATTTCTGGGTGGCTGCACCAGGCGTCCTGGATTCGTCCGCCGGTTTCAGAAACGTGCTTTTGTGCAGAGATCAGCGCCAGAAAAAAGGCTTAGGTTATGGTTGGGTTGGCGTTTTGGTCAAGATTCTGGGGCCAGCAAAGTGGCTTTAAGATAAAGAGCAAGCAATTTTAAGTGGATCCCAACAGGCTGTTCCGGAAGCTCAGTGCTCCAAAGACTTGCCCTTTGAGCATCATGGACTGAGACTTAATGCAGGTCAGGTGAAAAGATGTGTTGCACAGAAGCGGGAAGCAAAATTGTAGACAACATGGGTAAAGTGACAAATAACTATTGGGTCAGACAGTTTGGACGTGTAAGTAGGATAAGTATGTTCCCGAGGGCTTAACCGTAGAAACCGAAGACGCACTTGGTGCGGTGATGGTTAGGGCATGCGTAATGCATAGTGTGGCTCTTGTCTGAGGCTGATTGTGCTATCTTAGGCCAGATGTGTCAGTTTTTTCTTGCATGTCTATCTGCATTTTGTCTTGTATGATCGGAATCATGAGCCTACCAACCTCCGCGGCCTGGCTGCAGGTGTCCAGCCAAGTTCTGAATTTCATGTCGGCATGATATTGCCAGCAAATGGCCCTCCAGACCAAGACATCGGCGCGGCAGACGAGCCGACTTCGTAAGCGTAACCGCTGTGGGTTTCTTCAGCCATACATCTGATGACACAATTGGGGGATAACATTCTGGCAAGTGAAGTTAAGAAAACGATCAGACATGAAACACGCACACCTTTTATGGATTATTGATGATTATTGAAGCATCCAAGAAGTCCAACAATCAGATCAGATTGCAGTGGAACTGCTCCTCTTCATTCAAGCTCTTGAGGAGAGTGTGCCATTGTGTTGCCATGGGTCATGATGAGGGATGGGCAGGCCAGCGTGCTGGGTCTCTTCCTCAGTTGGGCGACTGGGCGCCTTTTTGGATGGTGAATAGCTGAACACAACTGAAACCAATGGGGTACAAAAACCCACTGGCAATCAAACATGGCACTGGCCCTCAACGGAGAAACACACACCTTGTCCCATGGCATGCATCAACAGAGCGGGGTTTGAAAATTTGCCAGAGATTGCCAGAGGCTACGGGTCAAAATTGCAGCTTCCCCAGCCATAGACCTCGTTTGTCTTAGTTTGTAGCATGTAGCGGCCATGATCCATTTTTTTGGCGCTTGGCCCTCGCCGACTGCAATTAACAGTTGTGATTCTGATATTATTCAAAACCTGAGGGGGCCTCTTTTCCTGGGAGGATGAACGATGAATTTTCTGGCATGATGGATAGAGTACTGGTGTCTCACAAGAAAATTCAAACAGTTTAAGTATGTTTAAGTTCATTCGCTTTTGGCCTATCCTCTGACTGCTTGTCCAGTAGCTATCTTGTAGCTGCCCATGAGCATTTACAGCAGATCCATAAACATGTTGAACCCAGGTGGTGCCTGCAATTGACATAGACCTGCCAGATGGCCACATCCAGCTGTGAACCCCTTTTTTCCCCTTTTCTATTTTTTGGGTGGAACATGGTTCTCAACCAATTAAACAATTTGTTTTTTGGGTTTAGCTTTGATCAAACAAACCAGCGTGATTTTTGGTCACTTTTCTGAGTGCCAAATTAGATGTCAACTTCAACTTGAATCATTGCCTCATCTGATCAGGAATGACTACAATGGGCCCTTGCGTCGGGTCCCACCGCCAGTGGGGGGCCACTGTCGCAGAACCCTCGGCAGGGTGTCTACAGTACAAACATAGAAGCACGCACCAGCATTTGTGCTTGTTTAAGACCCACCATTTTTGTTGCTCGAGTCAGAAATCCAGCAACAATTATGGCTACCCAAGTTTGACCCATTTCCAGGTACTGATAACCACTTGGGTATTTGCCTCCCAAACCGCAAACTTGGCTTGTTATTCGAAATTTGGGACAGTCCTGTTCATTTTCGGGATGTGAAAAGCAGACTGTGAGGGTTTTCACCTCTTGAAAGTTTTTGGTAGTAGCTTGTTCCCGAATGCGTAGCAAGGGTTCCCGTTTCTCGCAACCGTTCGCGCGAGGTCGCTGTGGCGGTGCCTATGGCAAGTTCTGCAAAAGGGGTCACTTTTTGAGGTTCCAAACGTCGCGTAGCTTCGTTTTGCGTGGCAGGCGTGGCACTTCGTGACATTCAGACGTGTTTCATAATGTGTCAAAAGTCGTTTGCAGGCACAATACTTGTGCGTCGTTTTCAGAAGATGAGTTGCATTCTTCGTGGCAGGCACAGCACTTTGGAGACCTCCATCGTCTTTTTGCGTGGCAGGCGCAGCACTTCAGACGTGTCTTGCTGCATGTTTTTTGCGAATCGCATTGTCAGGGCTGCGTATGGGGTGACAAAGTGCAAATTCTGTGGCAGATTTTGTGAAAAAACGTCGATTTTGAGGTAGAAAATTTTGGGCTTCATGAGAAAACTCGTAGGAAGACGTCGATTTTGGAGCTACAAAACATGAAAATTTGAGGATGTCTCGCACGAAACGCTCGTTTTGATGCTCCAACATGTCTCGTCTCGAGTCTCTGGTTTTCCTGTGGCCTCGCCGTGTCTATGGGGGAAGCTGCACAACCTATCCTTTTTGAAGGTGTCAAAGCAGGTTGTAATGTCGTTTTGCGTGGCAGGCGTGGCACTTCCTGACATTCTCACATGTCTGCAAACGTCTTGAAAAGATTTTGTGTGGCAGGCGCAATACTTTTGCGTCCTTGTCAGAAGATACCTTGCAGCTTGCGTGGCAACCGCAGCACTTTGGAGACCTCCATCGTCATTTTGCGTGGCAGTCTCAGCACTTTCCACTTTCCACTTTCCACTTTACATTCCGCACTTCACGCTTTACACTCCACACTCTACACTTTACACTCCACACTCCACACTTTACACTTTACACTCCGCACTACACACCTTACACTTTACACTTTACACTCCACACTTTACACTGTACACTCCACACTTTACCCTTTACACTCCACACTTTACACTTTACACTCCACACATTACACATACACTCCACACTCCACGCTTTGCACTACTCTATACACTCCACACTTTACACTGTCCACTCCACACTCTACACTCTACACTCCACGCTTTACACTCCGCACTTTACACTTTACATTCCACACTTTACACGCCACACTTTGCACTCTACACTCCACACTTTACACTCCACACTCTACACTTTACACTTTGCACTCCACACTATAGACTTGACACTCCACACTTCACACTCTACACCTTACACTTTTACACTCCACACTCCACACTTTACGCTGCGCACTTTACACTCTACACCCCACACACTGCACAAACTCCATGCACTCCACACGCTCCGCACACTACACTCCACACTCCACGCTTTACACTTTCCACACTTCGCACTCCACACTTTACACTCCACACTTTACACTTTACACTCCACACTTTACACGCGGCACTTTGCACTTTACACTTTGCACTCCAAACCTTACACCTTACACTTTGCACTTTGCACTCCACACTCTGCACTTTACACTCCACACTTTACACTTTACACTCCACACTTTACTCTCCACACTTTACACTTTACACTCCATACTTCACACTTGACACTCCAGACTTCACACTCCGCACTTTACACTTTACACTCTACACTTTACATTCCACACTCTACATTTTACACTCCACACTCTGAACTCCACACTTTACACTTTACACTCCACACTTCGCACTTTACAGTCTACACTCGGCACTTTACACACTACACTACACTCTACACTCCGCACTTTGCAGTCTACACTCCACGAACTGCACGCACTCCACGCACTCCACGCACTCCACACGCCCCACACACTCCACACACTACACCCACATTCCACACTCCGCACTTTCAACTTTACACTCCACACTTTACGCTCCACACATTACACTTTACACTCCGCACTTCACACGTTACACTCCCCACACTTTACACTTTGCACTCCACACTTTACACTTCACACTCTACACTGCACACTTTACACTTTACACTTTACACTCCACACCCTGCACTCCACACTCCACACTCCACACTTGACAACTTTACACTTTACACTTCACACTCAACACTCCACACATTACACTTTACACTCCACACTTTACACTTTACACTCCACACTTTACACGCGGCACTTTGCACTTTACACTTTGCACTCCAAACCTTACACCTTACACTTTGCACTTTGCACTCCACACTCTGCACTTTACACTCCACACTTTACACTTTACACTCCACACTTTACTCTCCACACTTTACACTTTACACTCCATACTTCACACTTGACACTCCAGACTTCACACTCCGCACTTTACACTTTACACTCTACACTTTACATTCCACACTCTACATTTTACACTCCACACTCTGAACTCCACACTTTACACTTTACACTCCACACTTCGCACTTTACAGTCTACACTCGGCACTTTACACACTACACTACACTCTACACTCCGCACTTTGCAGTCTACACTCCACGAACTGCACGCACTCCACGCACTCCACGCACTCCACACGCCCCACACACTCCACACACTACACCCACATTCCACACTCCGCACTTTCAACTTTACACTCCACACTTTACGCTCCACACATTACACTTTACACTCCGCACTTCACACGTTACACTCCCCACACTTTACACTTTGCACTCCACACTTTACACTTCACACTCTACACTGCACACTTTACACTTTACACTTTACACTCCACACCCTGCACTCCACACTCCACACTCCACACTTGACAACTTTACACTTTACACTTCACACTCAACACTCCACACATTACACTTTACACTCTACACTTTACACTCCCCACTTTCCAGCCCACTCTTTGCACTTTACACTCCACACTCCACAATCTCACTTCACACTCAGCACACCACTTTCTTCACACTCCACACTTTGCACTCCACCCCCTTCCACATGCCACAATGTCTACAGTGCTCTGGTACGGTAACAGGGGAAAAATCGACAAGACTGTTCAAATAACTTGTTTGACAAGAGTGTGTTACGTGACTGCATTCGGGTTCGTGGGCTGCATCTAGTTTTTTTTTCAATTTTTTGGAAATAATTTCGTCGTTTTTGTCAATCAAATATAACAAGTTGTCGTTGGTGAATTTCCAGTTGTTGATGGTTAAATACAGTTTTTTGATGGTAAAACTGGTGAAAACACCTACCATATCTTGGTTTTCACCCAGCATGGCCGGGGTTGAGGCTTGGATCCAGGATCTTCAAAGGAGCGACTACTCCCCCGATGCCCTCAAGGTGATGGGGAGTGGGTCAAGGAAAAAAACACCACATGGCTGGGGCTGGGGTGGGTGGTAGATTCTTGGGGTCTCAATAGGTTGATTTGTTTCTGGATTTCTTGGTGTTTAGGTGTGAAGTGATGGGTTTCGCATCTGTTTCTGGATGATTTTTGGTTTCAAAATGAAGGACAATTCCGAATCCTTTGCGGCCAGCGGGATGCAATGAGTGAAACACCCCGGTGTCGTGCCAGCCTCCGAATTGACTCTTTGGAAACCCCTGCTGTGATGACGGACTGGTCGTAACACTCCTGGCTCCAGCGTCATATCTTCTATAAGCGCTAATTCAGATCCGGGCGGATCGGCTTCCCATGGCGGAGAGTGTGTTGGCAGCTTTCAAGCGCTTTGATCAAGATGGAAATGGATCCATCAGCCGGGAGGAGTTGGCCGCGGTGCTGACGATAGGTTGGATTCAGATAGTTTTGAGTCAATTTCCACCAAAAATGGAATGATGAAACCTCCAAGATTTAATTCTTCTGCCCTACGACCGGGGTGATTACTCAATAATCGATGAGCACACGTTTACCCACAAACAGCGGGATGCTTGGCCCCAGAATTCTAGATTCATCTTGGGAGCTTTGAGCGGCTCCAGCCAGGAAGGAGTTGAATCCCGACTTCGAGGATGCCACGCTCCACCAGCTCTTCTCTTCTGCCGATGCCAGTGGGGATGGTCAGTTGCAACTGGAGGAGTTTATCGCTTGGATCTTCGCGGAGGATCAGCAGCTGAGCTTTCCAGGCGCCCCGAGCTTTGGCTTCACCTACGTCATTTCAAACGCCCCCAGGGCAGAGCTGAATGGGGAATATGTGCAGCAAGATCAGCAGTATGGACATCGGCCTGTCTTCTACTGCGCGGGGACGGGCAAGTACCTCTTTTACCATGCACCCCATAGGCAGTGGCAGATCTATGCCAAGCCCAGCACCAGAGCCATTGCAAGACTCAAGACACAGAGATCGCCACAGATGGCGCTGGGAGCCAACTGGGAGGTAAGGCAACAGACGGGCACTGAAGCAACGTATGTCGAGGCCAGCGAAGCTCTGGGAGAGAATCGGAGGGAGATTGTGGAAATGGCTACCCCGATCCCTTTGATACCCGATTCTTCGAGCCATTCATCTTGTTCGAATCTGGTTCATTCCTCTATTGGATTCCACTTTTATAATAGCAGCTTTGAAGAACCACAGCTGGCAACAACTCCATTTTGGTGTTGCTTATCCCCTTGTGGGACACACCTTGGCTCCCAATTCCTTGGGGTATTAACACAAGGTTGAGCTGCCCATCGGTCAGAATTGGTCGTCCCACATTGCACTGTTCAAAATGACACCCAAAATTGGGATGGTTGAAAAGTACCGGTGACACCACCATTTTTGAACCATACTGGGATACTCCCTGAGTATCACCCAACTGGATATCCTCAGGTATACCGAGGTTCCTAACTTCAGCTCATGGACCCAATAAATGAAGGATCATGAAGGTAATTCTGGGGAAGGTACTGTGCCACTTCTCGGAAGTCTGCTTTGTTAAGCCTGATCAAGTCCCATTGCTAGGGGTTGGACTTTCTGGTTCCTGACAGAATGCCTGGCATGGCGCAGGTGCCTGAGATGTCTTGTACCGTGGTCCCTCCACCCACTTCCATCGAAGAGATGATCGAGAAAGCGCCACAGCACATCTACGTGCAGGCGTGGAGCAGAGCCAAACTTGGGTACCTCAGATGGCCTCAGATGGCTGGATTACCTTGCAATGCCTTGCAGAGCGTTGCTTCCGAAAAAAAAGATCACATTTTTGAATGAGTGTGGGAAAAAAGGGCACCTGGATGCAACATTTCCAGGTACTGCAATTGGATGTAATTGGTGATAATGACTATGCTCAGTGTGCAGGAGTTCCGTTACAATCGTTACAACCCCGTAAAAAAAAACTGTTGCTATCCTGCCAAGATCTCCAGGCAGCACTTCTGGATGCAGATGCTTTGCCAAACTACCATATTGTCATCTCTGATATCAGGCTGTCCATTGATCGCTTACCTTCACAGGGTAAGATGTCCGGGGGATAGCTTGTCAGGCGGAAGACTCCAGGATCCATGGAGGTTTCTCCAAGAACGACCAGCCATGGCATGACCGGCCTACGTGGTTTAACAAGGTGGACAAGACCTTCTTGCTATACGACAAGGACAAGGTCTGCTGGAAAATTTGCACTGCGCCCCAGGACTGCCTGACGTGGAAGCTTTTTTCTGCATTGACCTCCGTTGGACGTTACTCTGTTCCAGGGAAAGAAGCCGGGCGTTACTCTGTTCTCTTGGCGTTTTATTTATATCCCTTTTGGGCTAAGACGAGTTTGTTTGTCCAATTTCTTTTGAACACATCCAGTCATATAAAATCTGTTTCTTCACCTATCTCAATTTGTTTTCCCCAGATTTTCTTCACCATTTTCCACCTGACGCGCCAGGACGCCACGGCCATCTTGGCGGTGTCGCGTTCGAGCGAGGTCTGGTCCCCGGAGCTGACGACCTGGGAAGGTCCAGTGCTGCAGGCCATCGACCTCAACAGCCCGGTGGCTCAGGAGATCCTGGAGACGCTGGGCACAGGGCAGGGCACAGGGCACGGCAGGGATATGGGGGGTATGGCCATGATGACTTGGGGATTTTGGTGAGATGAGCGATTTCTAGTAGATTTTGGGGGTGATGAAATGGGGGTTATTGGATGTATGCAGTTTACCCATGTTTACTCCAACATCATTCATTGGTGACCATGCGAGAGTTTCTGAGAAGGGGCATTTGATACTGCCAGTAGGTCATAGAGTCGATGCAGGGGTAGGTTTAATGCCTGTCGAATATGCGTAAGAGTGGAAGGCACTCCAGCAGCGTTGGCAAAACACCAAGGGAATTAGAGGTGATCTCAAGCAACCGAAGAATCATTGTAACTGGCTCAGGGCGAATCCATGTGGAGATCGGCTGATTTTTTGCCCCAACAAGACCCAAGCAACTGCCTTCCCAATACAGCCTGAGAACTCACCAACCTGGATGTGTTGATATTCCATGCATAACAAACGTCCAAAAATGCTCTGAACATGATGTATTTCAACAGTGACCATGAGTTTTTTTCGCTCAATTTCCAAGAGATCTCCCCGAAATCATATTTGCACTTGTTGCTAGTTCAATTTTGGCTTCCCAGGAAGCAGAAAGCAGAAGGTAAAGAGGAGAATACTTGGAACAAGGGCGGAGAGGATGAGCCTGGCTTCATTGACCCAGACTTCCCGCCCAGCGACGAGAGCTTGGGGGAGAATTATAGGCAGGATGTCCCGAAGGAATGGGTCCGAGCCATCTACTTGCGGGGCCACCAGGAGCAGCCAGTTTTATTTGAAGACATGGAACCGGCAAATGTTTGCCAAGGCTACTCTCGGAGCAGAAAAGGGATGAAAAGGGTGATTTTTGAAACATGTATACTCTTTGTATCCTTTTTGTTTTTGTAACAAGTCCTTTCTTCTTAGTTGCTTGGCACGCACTCTGCATGCTCAAGTCTCTTCTAGTATAAAGCGTAGGCCGTGCAAGACCATGCGGGTATGCCTCAAAATGACCCCAAACATGGACGATCTATCTATCTATCTATCTAATCTAACCTAATCTAATCTGATCTAATCTAATCTCTTCTAATCTACTCTAATCTCTAATCTAATCCAATCTAATCTAATCTAATCTCTTCCAATCTAATCTAATCTCATCTCATCTCATCTCATCTCATCTCATCTCATCTCATCTCTCTTTCTCTCTGTCTGTCTGTTCGTCCGTCCGTCCGTCCGTCCGTCTGTCTGTCTGTCTGGGTGTCTGCCTGTCTGTCTGTCTGTCTGTCCTTCCTTCCTTCCTTCCTTCCTTCCTTCCATCCATCCATCCATCCATCCATCCATCCATCCATCCATCCATCCTCTGTATGGATATACGTGTATATATATATACATACATACACAATGTCACGTGTCTTGTGGGTGGCCCATTCTTGTGCCCAACCCCTGCCAGCTCGGAGGTGGTTGTGGTGATTGTTGGCTCATTGCCGCCATCGCAGCAGTGGCAGAATTCCCGTCTTTCATCAAGGACCACTTGTTCTCAGGGAAAGAACTGTCACAGGAAGGCGCAGCGGATTTAAGAGTCAGTTTTTTGGTGGAAACTAATCTTCCACACCCCCTATTTGGCAGGGCCAATGTTATCTTACTGGAGGGTACGCTGTACCCATTTCCTTGTGGCAGGTGGTCTACGGATGTCCGCCCGTTCAGGCATAAAACACCTTGAAACTTTCGAAACCATCTTAACCACCCCAATCTTCAGTCACTTTTGGTGGCCAAAATGTCCACTGTGTGGCCCGGATACAGAGGCAAATACGAAATTCGCCTTTATAATTGGTGGGCGGGCGAATTCCAGACGATCACTGTGGACGATCGCATTCCCTGCAAACAACGAAAGGGTCTGGAGCCGAAGCCATATCCATTGTTTGCGCAAGTGCCAGGCGGCTTCGACAGGTCAATGAGGGATTGAGTTCATTGAGGTCCATTATATGGCATATTAATGGCAATAGGGAAAATGCAACCACCTCATCGAATTCAGCAACCACCCTAGAGGCCCTTGATGGGTCTCAAACCAAATGGCCACGACAGAATTAATGTTTTTAACGCTGCTGTGGATTTCGGGGGATCAACATCAAGATGGTTGGCTCCAACATGATGAAATTCGTGTAGTTCAGATTGGAAATAGGAGGACAATTCCAAATAGTTATTTAAGCGTGATATCATGACTTTTTAGTGCCCAAATATGATAACTATTTAGTGGTGATATCCTAAATGTAGAATCATCATTTAGGCATTGAAATCTGGGTGATATCACATCTTCTTCAGGATTTGAGGGATATTCTCACGTTATTCAAGCGAGGATGATCATGCAATCTTCTCCGCTGTTTTGGGCTGTCAAACGACCAGCCAACAGCAGCTGACCTTATTCTAGATCTAGCTTGATTTGTGGAGAAAAGATGGATGTCCCTAACCCTTGGCATTTCGAGGATTTTTTCTTCTCTTTTTCAACAACCCTGGGACCCTGATTTCTTCATTGTGGGATTTCCGAACTTTCTCGGATCTCCCCGTTGCCGGCGGGGTGCTCCCAAGCGCTTTCCGGTGCGCAGACCGGGAAGTCTATGTTCCCATCTTGGAGAAAGCCTTTGCAAAGTTCCATGGGAGCTACAAGGCATGTTTTGTTTATGGGGGGTTCAGGTGTGCAGCTTCCAGTTTTTTATATAGAAGCCTTCCAAAAATGGGACGCATATCCCACCTTCTGGGGGTTATAAGCATACTTATATCAATATTCATTAATAGCCACTATTGACAATTAATAACCATTGTATAATTACCATTAATAACAATTATTCACCAATATTAAGCCATATTAATATTAGTTAAAGCATTATTAAGGCGCTATGAGAACTTCAACTGCAGCCCCAAGTTCTTGTTTCAGGCCCTCGGGGGTGGAGCTCAATCACTGGCTTTTTTGGCAATGACTGGAGAGAAGCTTGAAATGGAAGAGGATGGAGGATTTCAAACAACCAAAGTTGGTATATATATATAACTGTTATATATATATATGAATATAATAACAGTAAACACAACAAGAACAGTACTAATTATATATAACCGAAGGAAATTTAGAAGTCAAACTTCCGACAATATGGACAGATGAAAAGCAGAGGTGGAGCAGAAGAATAGAGAAGAGAAGAGACGAAGAGAGAAGATCAGAGAAGAGAAAGAGCCAGAAGAAAGAAGATGCAGGTGCGCGAAAAGGTAGGAAAGTCGCGAAACACTGTGTTTTTCCAATGATTTGTGGCTCCGGAGGGTCGAAAAGTAGGCTCGCTAAAGCGGCGGGTGCGGAGCCATCTGGCCAGATGAGAGATGAAACGTTGCACGCCGTTGTGGTGCGAAGCACATTTGGAAGTCAAAATGTACAAAGCACACCAGGTTCGGACCACTTTTGGAAGTTGCGATGTCGAAAAGTGCACGCCGTTGTGGCGCAAAGCACATTTCGAAGTCAAAATGTACAAGGCACATTAACGTCGGACCACTTTTGGAAGTTGCGATGTCGAAAAAGTGCACGCCGTTGCGGCGCGAAGCACATTTCGAAGTCAAAAGGTACAAAACACCCGAGGTCCGGACCACTTTTGGAAGTTGCGATGTCGAAAAAGTGCACGCCGTTGTGGCGCGAAGCACATTTCGAAGTCAAAATGTCAAAAGCACCACATGTTCGCGCGACTTTTGGATGTTCAGGTGTCGTTTCGCGTGCCAGGCGCAAGGGATTGTGCACCTTGTCAAAAATGAGCAAAACGTGAGGGTTTTGTAGCATTTCCAAAAACGAGGGCAGGCGTGGGACATTTGAACAGGATCTGCAAAGATGCATTTTCCGTGGCAGGCGCAGTACAAGAGACATGTTCATCAGAGCTGTTAGGAGGTCCGGGCGTTGATTTTCTGAGAGGGGGTTGCATTTTGGAGCCTGAGATCTTCAGGTTTGCTGAGATAATTTTGCGTGACAGGTGCAGCACTTCGTATGACCTGGCATCACTTTTTCGCGGCAGGCGCAGTAGTTTAGACAAATGGATTGGACAAATCGCAAAACTCATTGGTACGACGCCGTCAGCGCTGCACGCAACTTTTGAAAAATAAAGAAGTCTCCCAGAATTGCTTCGTTTTTGACGTTGTCAAGTTGAAATATTGAGGAAGTCTCGCAGAATTGCTTCGTTTTTGATGTTGTCAACTTTGAAAAACGAGGAAGTAAAGCAGAATTGCTTCGTTTTTGACGTTGTCAAGTTCAAACATTGAGGAAGTCTCGCAGAATTGCTGCGTTTTGATGTTGTCAAGTTCAAAACCTGAGGACGTCTCGCAGAATAGCTTCGTTTTCAAGCTTGCAGACAGATAGGTAGATAGACAGACAGATAGACAGACAGACAGATAGATAGATAGATAGACAGATAGATAGACAGATAGACCGATAGATAGATGGACAGATAGACAGGTAGACATATAGACTCATAGATAGATAGATAGACAGATAGATAGACAGATAGACAGATAGACAGGTAGACAGATAGACAGATGAAAGAGAGAGAGAGAGATAGATAGATAGATAGATAGATAGATAGATAGATAGACAGATAGATAGATAGATAGGTAGGTAGGTAGGTAGATAGATAGGTAGATAGATAGATAGATAGAGAGACAGACAGACAGACAGACCGACGGACGGACGGACGGACAGACAGACAGACAGACAGACAGAGAGGGAGAGATAGATGGATACATAGATAGATTGGTGGGTAGGTAGGTAGATAGTCAGAGAAAAAGACAGAGAGAGAGAGAGAGAAAGAGAGGAGACATCAACCACTTTTCGATCCATCAGTGGCTTCGCTCTGCCATCCGTGATTCACAGCAACCAACCTCTCCTATAGGTTTCCTATTTTTGAAACTTCCGCCACCGCCTTGCGGTACTACTGGTATATGATAATATATGTACATATATAAATATATAAATATATAAATAAATAAATATATATATATGTATATGTATATGTATATGTATATGTATATACATACGTATATACAATGTGGGGAACCCAATGCCATAAACCTACCAGTTGGGGATGGTTGGAATCCCCCCCATAAAAATGGTGACTTGGGGGATTGTTCATTATTGGATTATCATTATCACTTTAATAGAAAATGTATTTTCAGGATGGTAGTTTGATGATGTTTTTTTTCCACAAATTGCAGGTGTCCAACTTTGATATGAATTTGGCTGGGGGTACCTTTCTGCATCAACCTCACACCCTCTGGTTTCATCAAATGTGGCTTGCTGGAAAGCCTTCCATTTATGGATCGATGATTTTCCCACAGCTACTCGTAGGAAACATCCATGTACAGGTTCGGGGATTTTCCAGCTGCATTTGATGAAACCAGAAGGTAACATGGTTTCACTAGCAGAGGAATGGGATTTGATGAGGAAAAGTGGGATTTCAACAACTGAAAATTTGGACCAATGGTTACTGCAATATGGATTTAAGCAGCAGATCAAAGTCCATTTTTTTTCTTTTGAGACCCTTAAAATGGTCGACCTGATAAATTACCATCAAGATTGACTGGGAAACGGTCAGTTTCATCGCCGAGCACGTTTGGGATTTGGATTTATCATGACTTGATCCAGATTGATGATGGTCTTGTCCCAAGGCCAAGGGTTTAATTGCGAAGGTTGCAGATGGAATTCCGTTGGATTTTCCGAAGCAGGGCCGGTGCCCTGGCCGAGGACAAGATTTTTGCCCTGGCGCCGAAAGTATTTTAATCCAAAATGGTCCATTGGCAGCGAGGGAGTGCTGGTGCGCAAGGACTGTAGCACCTCTGCTGAGACGCTTGGACGCTTGGGAAAGACTGCAGGAGTGGAGGAACTTGACCGAGACGGCGACCAAATCAAGTACAAGAAAATGTGGGGCGATGGTCCCAAAGAGGGCTGGTTCTCCCTGTACCTGCAGGGCGAAATCACTGCGAAGTGCTTCGAGGATTCGTCCGATGAACAGTGGGTGTGCAGGCCCCAGAAGTGGGACACATCCAAGCTCCCCTTCAATTACCAAACCTCAGCAGAGATTGAAATACAGGACAACGATGCCATGTGGAGCAAGATTCGTGACTGGGCGGCTGAAAATTACAAGACTTGGGATTGTATACTATATATACACATATGTAAAGGCAGCTTGATTGAATCTTCTTTTGGGTATGGCGGTTGACAGTTGGAAGGATGTTTTGCAACTATGAAATAGATAAGAGTCGTTCTCACCTGTGAAAGGAATCCGAGCCTGGGATGACTGAAATAGGAAGTACAGGCTGTGACCAGGCCCAAATTGCTGAGAGGTGTGGGTCCAAGTTGGCTGCCCCGAAAGTGGCTTGTAACCAAGATACCGAAACCACCACAATCTCTGAGCCTTCAAAATTCATTGACTAATCCCCTGTGGTTTTCTGCTTGTCAACGGCACCATGAGGTGAGTACGATGATGCCAACTACCTCATGGGTGCCAATTTGTGGTCAAATAGATATCGAAAAGATGGCCTGGTCTCCGGCCATGCGTATTCCATTATCCATGCCGTCGAGATTGAAGGCGGACTTGTTGGGGCTGGGGAACCCCTCAAAAAAGATCCGTCTACTTGCACCATTTTCCGAAAAGGGGCAGATTGGCACTTCTTGGACATGACATTTTGAGAATGCTGAACATCAGTCATCGGTCATTTGCAAATCTATAGTTTCAAACTAAGCAAAAAGAGAGCTCGGCCAAATGATGATATGATGGTTCCGGCTCCTTTTTTGAGGCGAACCCCTTGCAACCCCTCTCCATTCTCAGGCTTACAATTGGTGTGTTGCCGAAATCCTTGGGGTCGTGTCGAATGGAATGGCCCCTGGAGCGATGGCAGTGCGGAGTGGACAAGGCATCCTGCTGTGGCGGAGGCGTTGCAGGTTTCGGAGAAACAGGATGGACTGTTCTGGATGGATTCCTGGAATGATTCATCTTGATTTTTTGATTTCCCCCATTGGTCCACAAGAAAGTGAAGAATCGTCTTGGCATATGTTTTTTCTTTTATATTTTTTTTGGCCTGCTGAAGCAAATCCAAGGATTGGCAGACCTTTAGCCAGATTTTCTTGGACATAGGTGCAGCTCTGTCAATGATGTGGTACTGATGGGCACTGCATGTGGGGAGAACAGAACGGGTTTGGGAAGCCTCTCGAATTTATGTCTTGTTGGTCATGTTTATCCAGGTACGTTGTTCGGGAGAATTTTGGGCTCACGTATGGATGTAGCCAACTCCGTCAGGTGTTTGTCCCAAATCGATGCCAAGCAAGCGAGCAGACTTTGATGTCAACCATTTCGGTGGGGCGGCCTGAATGCCTGTCGCCTAGTCTGTCTCGGAGTTTGAGCCTCTAAGAGGCTCTCAGTGCACGAACGTTTCACAGATGGCCAAAGCTTCGCCCAGAAAACCAACTCAACCCAGTGGCAAATGGATGACCCCCCACGCATCCAGAAACTATTGAGATGGTTTGGCAGGACAAACACAAGAATGTTTTGGGGTAGTCACCAGCCCGATGGCAGTACTTTCACCTCAAAACAAGTGCCTTTGTTTCCACAAGAAAAGTTTTTCTTTCCAGCCACAATTTTGGATGTAATTCAGCCAAATCCCTTAAGATATCCCCTAAGATATCCCCAAGAAATCCCACATGATCGGTACCTAGGCGAAAATCCACAGTGATCCAACAGAATCCAACGTTGAATCCCGTTCGGCGATCCGATGGCTACACTGTTGAGATTCATCAACTATTATATAACTATAGACTATATAATACTATATATATATAATTATATATTGTCAATTTGTGGTATGTGATACTCCATGTAAAGGCCAGGTTGTCACATGTAGTGTCTGCTGCCATTTCGGCTATCAGGGCCCTTGAGCTACATCGCTATCGCTACTAGCAAAAAGAGCCGCGTTGGACTGCACGATACCGTTGCCAATTCACATTGGTAGCGGAGCAGGTGACGACCTGTCTCCGGGTACGTGTCAGATCCAGGGATTGAAAATAGTAGAAGTTTGAATCGGATTTGTTCTTGGAACTTTTTCTGCCGAAATTGTCTGATCCCTGTGGGACAGACCTGCAATTGGCTGACCTTGGGTATAGGCAGTCCATCGCAAAGGAATCGTAGAAATGTCAGTAGCTGGACTTAGGTTTGGTTCTGACCGATCCACTGTGCCCCTAGAGACCAAGAGTGGATCATACATATACCATGGGGATGCAGCACATTATCATGATTGGGAATTCCGGACCCTTTTGCGAATAAAGCTGTTTGATTCAAAGAAAGATGTAGAATCCTCCCCAACCGGAAGGAGTGCCGAGCCCGTTGGGCCGGACTCTGAAGCTGATGCTGGGATTTCACCCCATCCGCGCCCAGGCCGACCAGATGACGAAGCCGGAGCCTCTGCCAGTCGAAGCCCTAAAGGGGATGACACGGGTCGAGATCGTAGTGTCTTAGTCAACAAGGTCGTAGAAGGTCTTCGAGGTGATGCCTTTCTCATTGCCAGAGATCTCGGTTTGGAGACTCTGTCCCAAGAGGAAGGTCTTGAACGATTGGTTGAACGAATCAAGGCCCATGTTTTTCCCAGAGCTCAAGAAGAAGCCAAAGAACTCTTCAGAGCAGGGCAGAAAGCAGGTGGAGTTTTGTCCCGACAACCCCAAGAACCCATGCTGAGTTATACTCAACGCAGACGCAGATGGTGGAGAGTGTTGACCGAGCTTGATCCTTCCATGGCGCTTTCAGATGGACTCCGTATGGAGCTCATGCTTGAATTGTCAGGTCTGAGCCGGCAAGAGGTACTGGTCGTAAAAGCATGTGCCACCACCAAGGACTTTGAAGGAGTTGCTAAGGTGTTGGTTGATCAGTATTCAGGAATCCATTTGAGGGAAGGGTCCAAGTCTTGGGTTGGACGTTCATCTACCCCACAACAGTATGGGAAGTCTGGTAAGGGATATGGAAGTTCCAAAGGACCCCAAAGTGGTAAAGGTTCCTACAAGACAGCCTACAATGCCTATCCCGATGAGGAAGGCTATGGTTATGGTGACTATGATGAATACCAAGAGGAATACTATGAAGAGGATGCACCATACGTAGGTCTGCTTGGTGGGATCGAGGAACATCCAGAACAATCAAGTCCAAATGTTGACAATCCCTATGAAGCCTTTGACTTTCACGACGAAGTTGATGAGTATGAAGCCACTGCCCTGAATGCACTAGTGGATGTAGGAGATGAACCAACTGAAGATGACAAGAGCCTTGGGGAAGCTCTCCAACTCCAACTAGCTGCATTCGCAGCCTTCGGACGTGTGAAAGGAAAGGGTAAAGGCAAACCCAAAGGAAAAGGGAAAATCATCAGGTCCAACTTGTCCATCGAACAGCGCAGGAAGCGCCTTTCCGAGATTAAGGCCAAGTCAAAATGCCTTCGCTGCGGCGCCTACGGGCACTGGGCAGGTGACCCCATTTGTAAATTCCCAGGTGCAAAGGGGAATGCTAATGCCAAGGATTCAAAACCCCCATCGAATCCTCCTAGGCCAACAGCGCACTTTGCAGACTTCTCGGAATCTTCATCAGATGAGGGAGTTTTCTTGAGTGCATCATCACCCAAAACACCAGTTGCAAACATGGCCATCAAGAGTGCAGCTGCCCTTTCAAAGGCACCCAGTTTGGGACCTCCCACAACTCCGGTAGGACGAAATGACCCGTCAAAACCTGTTGGGAGTAATACGAAGTTCAAGTTTGGACAGTTTAAGGGGAAGACGTTTTGGGAGATCTTGCATGATCATCCTGACTACTTTGCATGGACACAGAAGAACGCCAAGAGTCCAGGAGCCTCAGAGTATGCCGAGTGGGTGAACCAAAACTTTGAGTATCGGGGGAACATAGTGTATCGCAGAAGTAGTTTGGAGCCACCACCACCTCTTCCAAAGCAACACACACGTTTGAGGAAGCCACCGAATCCACCAAAGGAGAAGTGTGCCAATTGCACCCAATTCACTCGTCAGGGGAGTACGGGTTACACCATCAAGGAGACATGTCTGGTTTGTGGCCATTCAACTACTACCAGGAGAGAACTACTCCCCCAATATCCTTATGACCAGTGTCCACATGAAGACAAGGATTTTCGTGGTTCTTCAAGGTCTGTTCACCGAACCTTTTGTAAGCAGTGTTGCACGTATCTGGATGAGACTCCGATGGAGCTCCAAAGGACCCGAAAAGCAGTCTCCACCAAAGTCTTGGAAGCACCCCTGGAAAGAGTTTCCATCATTGAACAACTGGTTGATGATTCCAAAGATGCGACCTTTAGCCCCGACATGCTGGACATGATCCTCAATGATTTTGCCACCTTAGTCGCCACCAGTTCTGAATCTGAGGCCATCACTTCGACCAAGCTGCATGAACTTCTCCACCAATCCATCGCCAATGCAGAAGGAGACAACAGTTTTACCATGGTTGGTGATGTGGAAAACCCTGGGGAAGATTTTGCAGGTCTCGGAGTGTGTTTTCATGGGGACGAGCCAGATGTAGAGATGTCTGATGGCTTGGTGCATGTGTTCCAAGAGACCCGTGACATGTACGACATGAGTGATCCCAATATCTATGTCGTGTTGGATGAGGGGTGTAACTCAACTTGTCACTCCAAACATTGGGCTGAGGTAGTAACTGCCAAGCTGAAGAACTTGGGATACCAGTTTCCATTCAATGACACCAAGGGGAAAACCTTCTCTGGATTGGGGACCGGGGGAACCTCGACCGAGGGATCCCGTACATTGCCTTTCAGCCTGAATTTCATGGACAGCAAGTGTACACCCATTCATGGGGTACTTGAGACGCACCAACTTAGCTCCGGGACATCACCACTCTTGCTGTCACTGCATGCTCAAGCCCATCTTGGACTTGTCAAGGACTTGAAGAATGGAACAGTATCCATTGATGGTAACCAGTTGCCAGTTTTCAGATGTTCTCATACAGGTTTGATGATGTTAGCAATCACCCCAAATCAAATTGATCCGACAGGAAAAACGTCCAATCACATTTCACAACAGATCCCAAAGTGCCACAGAAAGTTTCGAACTGCCTTTGCCGCCCTATCCGACGAGCCTGGTTCGCCGTCGGCCAGTGAGATGTTGAGGTCTCCAAGTGGCTACAGCTCGTCAAGCGCAGATCACATCGAAGGTGCCGTGAACAACTGCCTGAGGGGACTGGGCAGATCCCGATGCCTTGTGGTCACTTCAGGTGCTCGTTGGACAGGTCGACAGCCAAGCTTCCCTGGTGCTAAGGTTCTTCAGATTGACTGCAGGCATTTCCATGATCCTGACAGCGACAGATCGATCCGAGGTTGCACTGGACGACATCCTAGCATTATCCGAGGAGTTGCACTTCATGAGGCAATGAATGACCTCGTTGAGCAGGTGACAGATTTCTTGAGGGCTAACCCGAATGGGAAGCTCGTGATCCACTTGTACTGCACCAGTGGTCGTCATCGCAGTGTTGGATTGGCAGCTTTGATCTACTACTTCTTGGACGTGACTGATTGGAGGAAGCCTTTGCTGATCCATTATCACAGCCCGGAGTGGCGTGAGATGACTTGTGGAGGTCATTGCAGTCTTTGTGCAACAGCCGACACCAGAGAGCTTGGAAACTTGATGAACAGGCATCTTCCTGACGTGCGTGTTGTGGATGTGGATGAACCTGATTAGGTCATCAGGAGTTGCTAGGCCGCCTGAGCCTGTTAGGCCACCGGCACCAGGGCCTACTACAACGGCGACGAGATCTATCCCCACGTTGACACCATCCAGGACTGTGCCAGTTCCAGTCCGTGCTCCTATGACACCATCCTTTGGAGGTACATCGACGAGAACGCCTTTGACACCCAGGTATGTTCCAGCATATCCACCTCCAAGCCGTAGTGCTGGAGACTCATCTCGTGGAGGAGCACATCACGAAGGAGACGAACGAGGCCGTGATTATGGAGGACAAGACCGAGACTTAGCAGTACAGGTTCTTGCTAATCAGGTCCAGGAGCTCTCAGGTCTTGTGAGACAGGTGCTTGAAGGAGAACGAGCTGATCGTGGAAGGACCAGAAGAAGATCCTCTTCGAGCGGCAGGCGTGGTCGGCGATCTCGAAGCAGACGCCGTGTGTCATCTCCAAGGGTACCTTCTCCAAGGACCCCTCCATCACCACCGAGGCCACCGATTCGATGCCCATGTGATGAGTCTCAGCGTCAGCGACTTGAGAGGGAACTCCGCGACATCTTGAACGACAACAGCGGAGACCCATATTGCTGGAATGTCGATGAAGACATCCTTTCTTGGATCA